TATGTATGTATGTATATATATATATATAAATCATTATAAATAATGTAAATAAGTAGACTAACAAAATAAAAAGGCAAGGTAAGGAGAATTTCCATAATGTGCATTGTGCATATATATTTTCACAAATATTTGAAATATATAAAAAATATTTTACAATTCAGTGTTGAAACCTAAAGTACTGATGTAACATTGTGGAAAAAAAAGAATAGTGACATATCAATACGCGACTGTATTGCACAACCCTTTTTACGAAACACCTATTTTCGCAAATCACCATCAATAATAACCTCCCTAAGAAATAACCAAACGCACAAATAAAGTTGCAGCTTCATATACAAAGAGCTGATGGTGTTGACCGCCCGCGGTGAACTCTGGGCTTCCTAATAGCGGCTCTGAGCTGCAGACTAACCTAATAAATAGAACAAAAATGGGCTTTGGATAAGAACAGGCAATTATAGCAATCCACTGCGCTCGGCAGCTGAGACAGGAAAATTGTATTTGGTATAGATGATGGATGAATGCAATCCTGCGCTGGGGACGCGTGTGCACCTTCAATAAACGCACAGCTCTATTAAACGCACATACGCACACAAACGATTCCAAACACACACACAAGCGTCTTTATAACTAAGAGCAGCGCTGATGTTTTGACAGCGTTATTATTGAGGACTGCAAGGACAAAGGTTAATCGGTTTGATCATACACCGCGTGTTTTACAGTATGTACTGCATACACTAGTAGTCACAAGTTTGGAATCATTCATATTTTTATTTTTTTGAAAGAAGTCTCTTATGTTCACCAAGGCTGCACAGTAATATTGTGAAATATTTTTACAATTTAAAGTATGTTTTCTATTTGAATATGTTTTAAAATAGAATTTATTTCTGTGATGCAAAGCTGAATTTTCAGCATCATTACTCCCTCCCGTCTTCAGTGTCACATGATCCTTCAGAAATCATTCTAATGTGATTTGCTGCTCAATTATTATTGGTACGTTTTTTTTGTGTGTGTGGAAATCGTACATTTTTTCTTGACGAACAAAGTTAAAAAGAACAGCATTTATTTGTAAAAGAAATCTTTTGTAACACTAAGAGAGCTGTTGTTAATCTGAAAAAAGGGAGGAAATTGATTACATTTTAAACATTTATTATTAAATGTTTTTTGTTAAAGTATGATATGTTTAAAAATAAAATTAATTTTATGTATAAAAAATAATTAAAAGGTTTTAAATTAAATTAAAATTAATAAATTACAAATGTAATGTAAAAAATCATTAAATTAAATAGTATTATATATTAACTATAATAAATTAATAAACGCTAAATGGTTAAAAAAAACAATTGAATTGCTATACATTTATATAAAATATTTTCAAACAGAAAAAAGTTAGTTAGATTTGTAATAATATTTCACAATATTACTGTTTTTACTGTATTTTTAATCAAATGAATGCAGCCTTGGAGAGATTTCTTTCCAAAACATTAAGAAAACCACAAATGTACTATTTTTATTTTAAACAGTTTGTGAATTAGCAAGTAAAATAAGTCACATAAGCTAAAAAGTAAATAGAATGCTAGTCTGTACACACACCCACACACACATTTACCTGTTCATGCGTCAGTTCTCGGAGCGGAGGCGGAGGCGGAGACGGCTCCTCACACACCGCCAAGCTGCGGACTAACTTTAACTTGCCGTTGGACTGGAGGAGAGTAACCATGGTTACCAAAATGTCTGGCACTCATTCGCAAAAGAACGTCCAACAACGCAACTAAAAATACACAAGCACCATTTTGCAACGTCTCAGGAGACTTTTCAGAGCTCAGGGAGGGGTTTGCGATTAGATCATTAATTAGAAGCGTGTTTATTAAAACGGACGCTTACATAAAGATCTGACAGCCCTGAAAGTCTGAAAATCTCAAAGTACGAACACACAAAACAAACCAAAAACCAGCAGTTTGACAGTTTTTCATATGGGAATCATTAGAATATTAGAAATGATAATAAACACAAGAGATGATTTCTTGCAAGCAATGTCTAAACCACTAAAAACAACACACACACTCAACAGAATCACAAAAACAGTTTGTCTGTTTAAAATGCACAGATGAAACGGCATCAAGAGCAGAGCAGAATTCGCCACTGTATGTGGGAAAATCTCTGGAGAAGGCGCTCGGGTCTTACAAACCCCCGGCATCTCGGTACATGCTGCAAAAGTGCTAAACGCAGCATCCCCCTAAAGCATATTTATTATTCTTTACTGGCTCGAGCAGGGGCTTTTATTCCCACAATGCACTGCCGAACTCTCTCTCTTTTTCTCGCAAGGCACACAGAGTGCAGGCAAACAAAACACAACCAACTGATCCAAAAAAAAATAAAATAAGCAAACCAACTCATGCTGGGATCATACCGTACCTTGGACCGTTTAATAGTCTGTGCTGATTGGACGAGCTGTTGGTAATCAGAAGGAAAAAAAAAGGGAGGAAAATGCACATTGTTTGTCATAAAGTATGAAATAGTAAAAAAAAAAAAATAATTATAATTATAATATACATATACACATATAACCAATTAAAACATTTTTTCAAAATTCTATTAAAGTTTATTTAAAAACTGTAATTAAAAATGTGCACCAGTGAAGCAGTTAATTGTGCAGGAGAGGAGAGAGAAATGAACAATGAGTGAGGAATAGAGCTGAGATCAGCATGTGTTTCAATGCACCTGGCCGCTGCCCTTTCTCAATGCACCAAGAGCAGATGGTGGCAAAGTCACACACACACACACGCGCGCACGCTCATGCACCCTGAGGGTTTGCAGATAAACCAGCAGGATTCAGGTGCAGATTAACTGTCCTCCCTCTCTTTCCAGGCATTAGCCAATCACACGCCAGCTTGGATCCGATTTGCGGATTCTACTCATCTCATTGTCTTATCTCTATCTTTAAGCAGAGACATTAGGATAATGGAAACCATGGCAACAGCATACCACCATCCCATTAGCGAGAGGCTACAATCTCATTTCCTGCTGACTTTAGACTACATTACCCAAAATGCACCACTTGAGGTGCTGTCCCCAGGTTTACCTGAGTTTGATGGGAGGAACTTTGGTCTGTCACACACTCCTGGGCATGTGTGCCGTTGTTCTGGGGCGCGTGTTGGGGGTCGCTGAGGGTCGCGGGCGGTTCGGCCACGTGCGGCCCGTCACTCTCCAGAACCTTCATAACGTCACAACTTCTGGTGTCCAGAGAAGATTCAGACATTATCCTCAGAAGCAAGACCGAAAATCACCACCTATGAGATAAAAACACTGCTGATTTAGTTGACAGCTTAAGGACGTTGATTTCAACTTGCGATGTCAAAATTACTGGTTCTGCATTTATGAATTGATGCAAAATTGTAAAAATGTAACTGGTTGGGTGAAATGACGAATTCTACAAGGCTTAACTCATGATTATTAATGACTTCTGAAGCGGCTCTGTAACCTTCATGGAGTGTGCAGTCATGTAACCTAATTAATATCTATTTCCCATAGTAGTATTCATTAATTAGCCACCTGATTAAGTGCCTAATTATAAAAAAAATTATTTTATTTAGTCTCGGCCAATCAGTTAAGCCTACAGGCTAATGTGATTTTTTTTCATAGGTAAATTTGCACCTATATTTAATTTGATGTGAATAAAAATGAGGTTGCAAACTTAGTTTGCTCAATATGTCATACCAATTTTTTTTCTGGATAGTTTTGGTAGGACTCAATTTGGTAAATAAGCGAAGGCTATGTCTTTGAAGATCAAAAAGGTATATTATTAATAATGAGTATCAATAATGTCATGCTGACATTGAGTCATAACCATTTCTCGAATGCGCAGTCACAAACTCAATAAAGGGTTACTCCACCCCAAAATAAAAATTGTCATTAATCACTTACCCCCAAGTCGTTCCAAACCCGTAAAAGCTTTGTTCGTCTTCGGAACACAATTTAAGTTATTTTGGATGAAAACCGGGAGGCTTGTGACTGTCCTATTGAAAGCCAAGTAAATTACACTGTCAAGGCCCAGAAAAGTATGAAAGACATCGTCAAAATAGTCCATCTGCCATCAGTGGTTCAATCAGAATTTTATGAAGCGACGAAAATACTTTTTGTATGCAAAGAAAACAAAAATAACGACTTTATTCAACAATTTGTCTCCTCCGCGTCACTGTAGCGCCATTTTGGAGAGTATCCACTGAACACACATGGAACTGGAACGACATGGGGGTAAGTGATTAATGACAACATTTTTATTTTGGGGTTGAGTAACCCTTTAATATTTATGATGCATTTATGAAGGCTTCACCACAGGATTCATCATTTTGCAATATATGGCAAAATATCAGCTCATAGATATTGATTAGTCACTGATTACTAACATTCACATGCCATACCTTCTTTGTACATTTATTTTGAGATTCATTTGAAAAGCTATTGCTAAGGCTAGTCCAAAAAAATATATAATAATGCAGGAAACAAAGTACTGTAGTTTGACATCTAGAAATCACTGTTAGTTACATAACTACTGAAACATTTCCAGATGATTTGGTTGAAAAAAAAAATGCATTTACATAGTCTGTAACTATGAGTTAAGCAAGTTGCATAACTACTGAAATCTAGATAAGCAAAATAGAATGCATTTCAGTAGTCTGTAACAGAAAGTTATGCAAGTTACGTACTTATTGAAATCTAGATACACAAAAGATATATTTTTAAGCCATATTTTCAGATTTTTTGATTGAAAAAAAAAATGCATTTACATAGTCTGTAACTGTTACGTGTTACGTAACTAGGTAGATATGCAAAAGAGAATTAATTTACGTAGTCTGTAAATACAAATTATGTAACTATTTAAACGTAGACATGCAAAAAAGAAAGGATTTACATAGTTCGTAACTATAAGTTACATGTTACATAACTATTTAAAGGTAGAAACGCAAAAGAGATTGAATTTACGTAGTTCGTAACTATAAGTTATGCGAGTTATGTAACTATTGAAAGGGAGATAAGCAAAAGAGAATGCATTTGTGTAGTCTGTAACTGTAAACTTTGCAAGTTACGTAACTATTCAAATCTAGATACACAAAAGAGAATGATTTATGTAGTCTGTAACTAAGTTACACAAGTTACGTGACTACTGAAATCTTTACATATTTTAAGCATTTTCAGTTTTTTTAATAACTAGGTAGATATGCAAAAGAGAATTAATTTACGTAGTCTGTAAATACAAATTATGTAACTATTTAAACGTAGACATGCAAAAAAGAAAGGATTTACATAGTTCGTAACTATAAGTTACACGTTACATAACTATTTAAAGGTAGAAATGCAAAAGAGAATGAATTTATGTAGTCCGTAACTATAAGTTATGCGAGTTATGTAACTATTGAAAGGGAGATAAGCAAAAGAGAATGCATTTGTGTAGTCTGTAACTGTAAACTTTGCAAGTTACGTAACTATTCAAATCTAGATACACAAAAGAGAATGATTTATGTAGTCTGTAACTAAGTTACACAAGTTACGTGACTACTGAAATCTTTACATATTTTAAGCATTTTCAGTTTTTTTAATATGCATTTACGTAGTCTGTAACGATGAGTCACGCAAGTTACGTAACTATTGAAATATAGATATGCAAAAGAGAATGCATTTATGTAGTCTATAACGATGAGTCACGCAAGTTGCGTAACTATTGAAATCTAGATTCGCAAAAGAGAACTGGGAACTTCTATCCTTCTATTCCTGCTTATTTCACGATAAAACCAAAACATATTCGCATTTATAAAATGCCATCAGTACCAAAGAGATTGTGTTTACCGGCTGTGCTGTTTTCAGGACTGGGCTGGAACCTTAGGGAGCGTAGGACCCTGGGGCCTCTGGAGGCAGCAGGGCGGACTGAGAGACGGACAGGGGGCAGCAGCAGTCCCATGACCCCCGTCAAAAGCGCTCTGGTCGGGTCGCCAAACCACGGCTCACACACACGCTCCGCATCACCCTCGGACACCTGTCACACACACACACACACATACACACAAGGACAGAGGGTCAGGGGTCAAATACGGCGAGGTCAAGAGGTCAGTGACGCATGGATACAGTAGCGTCCGTAAGGGAGAACTGAACTCGTTTGATGGAAAGTCTGGAAGGTCTTTCGGGAGCAAAAGCACTGCAGCACTTCTGAAAAAGTGTCAGGGTGGTGACATGAATATGGAGAACAGACTGTGCTGCAGAGAGACAGGAACATACACAGAGAGGAAGTCATGTTTAACGCTGAACCTTCGACGCATTATAAGCATTTCAATGAGCTATCATGAATACGAAGCCGATAATATGACTCCACCCTCAATTTATAAATATTTTGTGTCGATTGAAATACAATAATAGCTGTTTTTTTGACAGAACTGACTCAATTCAGAATGACTAGGTTTAGCTCATGCATATTAATTGGGTCTTGCTGATGTTGCATCTTCAGCCTTCCTTTGGAGTACAATAACTTTAATTAGCAAATTTCAGAAATTTGTATCTGCTGTCTGTATTGCTAACGTACCGTACTGTATTTACGTCCAGCTGATACTCTCCAAAATGGCGCTAAGGTGACGTGGAGGAGCCGAATTGTTGAAGTCGTTGTTTTTTTTTCTTTTGTGCACAAAAAGTATTCTCGTTGCTTCGTAAAATTATGGTTGAACCCCTGATGTCACATGGATTAACCAGACGGTCCATCAGAATGATCCAAGACCGTGCCATTACTTTTCCATGAGTATTTGCGCACAGGTCACTGGCATTATCCCACATCACTGCAGGAAGTATGCGTCTCTTCATCTACTTTGGGCTCAAGAGCCGTTCCAGGTCGCGGGGAGAATGGGCGGCACAATTGCACATCAAGTGACGCTCTCAAGGACAATTATGACTTATGAGAGCGCTTTTCCACCCACACACGGATCGAAAAACACCAACAGCTGGCAGCAAATAATTTTATTTTATTTTAATTTCCAGTTAGCCATGTTAGTGCTTCAATTCATTTCAATTAGTTGGCAACATCTCTAATTTTCATTTAAATGTTATACTTTAATTTACCTTTATTTTAATGTTTTCAATACATTCAGGTAATGATAAATCAATACAGAAGACCAAATTACCAGTCCTACTGATTTAATTCATAAATAAAATAAAAAAAAATGGGAAAATCAACCACTGCAGAAACACACGCATACTCTGGCTGCATCTCAAAAACTACTGCATTTCCGAGCGTTTCTATTCGAATGAGCACCCAAATAACGTGTAACGCCCAAAAATGATGTCTTGGTAGTATGATATCTAGACTAAGTATAGTGACAAAAGGTGCCCAAAAATGCCTATAAATGCTCTCTAGATAGGCAGCTCAGTAGGTACAAAGCCCAAAAAAAAAACAATCAAGATATTCTTCTAACAAAGTAAAATACTCAATACTGCTGTTTAGATAGGAACCTTACATAATTTCCAAGGTATGATGCCCAAAAATCTTGTGTTAGGCTGCTCACTAGGTCGAGGTGTCGACAACGCTGCCTATAAAGACAGCTAAGCTTTCAGGGTCTTACACCTCGAAATGTTATTTAGTATGGGTACGATGCCCAAAATTGCTGTCTAGAAAGGTAGCACACAAAGTACGATTCCCATCAAAGCCATCTAGGTAGGCAGCTCACTAGATTATGTAGGCTATAACTCTCACTAGGTTTGATGGCAAAACATGCGGCGTAGGTAGGAAGCTCATTTGCAACAATGCCCAAAAATGCTGTCTAGGAAGGTAGCACACTACATATGATGCACACAATTGTTGTCTAGGCAAACACTTAATACGATTTTGATGTATGAAAATGCAGTCTAGGTAGGCGGCCCAATAGCTTTAATGCCCTAAAATGCATCTAGGAAATCAGTTTGCTACATATGATGGCCAAAAACGCTGTCTGGGTAGGCGTATAACAAGATTTTACATTTACTGTATGCATTAAGCAGACAAAAATTATGCCCAAAACTTCTACTTAGGCAGCTCAAATTGTATAATGTCCTAAATGCATCTAGAAAGGCAGTTCACAAGGTATAATGCCCAAAAATGCTGTCTAGGAAGGTAACACACTAAGTATAAAGGATGATTGCTGTCTGGGCAATCAGTTAATAAGCTTTTGATGTCTGAAATGCAGTCTAGGTAGGCGGCTCAATATGTATAATGCATCTAAGAAATCAGCTCACTAGATTTGATGGCCATGAATGCTGTCTCGGTGGGCGTATAACAAGCTTTTACATTTATATTTATGCATTAAGCAGATGAAAATGATGCCCAAAACTGCTACTTGGGCAGCTCAAACAGTATAATGCCCAAAAATGCTGTCTAAGAAGGTAGCACACTAACTATGATGCACACATATGCTGTCTAGGCAAACATTTAACATGCTTTTGACTCCCAAAAATGCAGTCTATGTACACAGCTCAATAGGTGCAATGCCCAGAAATGCTGTCACGGTAGTTTACTGGGTTTTGAGATCCAATTCTGGGACGGACACACAGACTTTGAGCAGACAAAATGAAAACACCAGTCCACAAACAAATATTGCTTTACTTTTATTGTTTTCCTTTCTTTCGTTTTATTATATCTCAATCAAACCCCTAAAACAAGGTGGGTTATTTTTAATTTCTTGTCTATGTAGGTATGCGTCAGATGGACATCTTTGGCTGTTGCATTGTTTCTCATGGCTTTTTAGAGACACACAGCAAAGGTGTCATGTTTTTAAAAAGGGGTCAAGTACAAAAAAAAAATATAACACGCCTCTCAATACCCTGTATTCTGTTGCTTTTGGATGCACAATGACTAGCTTAAACACAAAAACGCGTCAAAGCACACTAACTATGATGCACACATATGCTGTCTAGGCAAACATTTAACATGCTTTTGACTCCCAAAAATGCAGTCTATGTACACAGCTCAATAGGTGCAATGCCCAGAAATGCTGTCACGGTAGTTTACTGGGTTTTGAGATCCAATTCTGGGACGGACACACAGACTTTGAGCAGACAAAATGAAAACACCAGTCCACAAACAAATATTGCTTTACTTTTATTGTTTTCCTTTCTTTCGTTTTATTATATCTCAATCAAACCCCTAAAACAAACAAAAGACAAAAAACACACAATACATGAAAAGTAAACGAAAAAAGACAAAGGCCACAACTTTTTAACCTTTTCACAAAAATGTATGCAACATTCATTATCCTGCTGTAAGCATGTTGTCCAAGACAATAAAGCCCATCTGTAGTTTCCCATTATCAATTATTAATCACCATATTTCAGGAAGCAACGAGCACTTACCCTCCTGACAAAAGAAGCGCAACACCGCGCCGGGCTCCAGGCTACATGTATTTCACTTCACCCCTGTTTTAGACCAACATGCAAATGGCCCATATTTCTGGATAAAAGCATCGCTAATGGTTTTCCCTCCTTCCCCCCCCCTCCCCTGCCACAATCCGTATTCTCAGTGTGTGGCCGCTGTCACAGTCGAGCTATTCTTCTCCTCTCCTCTCATCATTAGTTCATTGACACGATTCGCCACATTAACGATATTAGCCGGGCTGCCTTCGGCTGTAATTTACACCCAGCTTTCTGCTGATAGCTGCCTCAGGCGCTTTTTTAAATTATAAAATAGAGCAATTACGAGAATGTCATTACAAAGTGCGCACACACAAACAGGCACGGAGTGTAATATGCTGACATGCAAATTTAGTCGCATGGAATAAATTAGCAGTAAAATTAATTTAGATTCTTTTATCATTTACGCTTTTGCATATAATTTGTGACTATACATATATTTAAAGACAAAGCTCAATTGTTGCAAATTTCTGAATTCTTGAGTGCCCTTGTTCATTGTAAAAAAAAAAATAAAAAAAAATCTAAAGTGACCTTGTTCATTGTAAATCTATTCAGTTAAAGTATTTACTACTTTACGATTTTTTTATTTTTTACATTCGCCACAATTAAAACAAGCAAGAAAAAACGTCAGCATACAAATCAAAATGTCCAAGACTTCACGCACACACACCTGCCTGGCGTTCATGATCCGCTGCTCGGCTCACATCATTAGTTTCCATGGCAGCCTGAGTGCCATCAAATGGAGCGCGCTCAGTGCAGCTCTGCTCTCCTCCGTCTGAGCACGGAGCGTTCGCGTACATGCCCAAAGCCATCGCTGCCGCAATCCTTCCTGATTCTCCTCTCTCTCTCTCTCTCATGCACACACACACTCTCCGCCAAATCAACAGCTGGCCTTTGTGATGTCATCCCTCCCCTGGCCAATCAGAGCGCCCTGAGGGCTGGGTGCAGTATGTCAGCGCTAAGCAGGGCTCCACCCTCGAGAGCCAATCAGATGGCCCCTGTGGACCGGAGAGAGAGGCAGACAGCAAAGAGACACACACACACACACGACCAACTGTGGTGAAGTGCCACTGTGGGACAGTCTGTCAGGGTAGGAGCACGCCAACACTGCAAATCCACCTTATTCGGTTGCAAGTAAGTTACCCATCGAAACCAGTGCCGCAGTCGCACACACGCCCTGCTTTAAGTGACGTCCCTTTGTGCCTCGTGCTCTTAAAAAAAATCTCCAGATTTCTGCGAATGAAAAACACCTTAAGTTAATTGGAAGGAGGTTAGATAGACGCCCAGGTTTAACTAGCGAGTGCCTTTACCATTGCTGACTGACGCAGGCAGGTGAGGTCATTGGGAAAAGTGGGTCACGGAAAACGGTTTGCGCATTACTGACGAAATGTAGGCAAAAAACAAATGACAGACAGAAAAGTGGATTTGAATATATGAACAAAACTATGGAAAACCAAACGTGCTTTCAGACCAAACAATTTCCAGACAAAACTAACAAAATGCTGTCTGATGACCAAATTTACGTCTCCATAGGCAATTCATTAAATAGGGAGCTCACAAGGTTTGATGATCAAAATGCTGTCTAGATGGGGAGCTAACTATATTTCATGCTCAAACATTGTCTATAGATAGAAAGCTAGCCAGATAAAATGACCAGAAACACTGTTTAGGTAAGCAGTTCACTAGGATTGATGCTCAAAAACGCTATCTAGATCACTTGTTTTGATGCTCAACAACATGTTCTAGTGGGCTAACTAGGTAAAATTGCCAGAAACGCTGTCTAGATAGGCGGCTCACTAGGTTGTATGTCCAGAAATGCTGTTCACGTAGGCAGCTCACTGGGTTTGATGCTCAAAAAATGCTTCAGGATAGGGCGGTAAGTAGGTAAAATGCTGTCTAGATAGGGACCTCACTCATTTTGATCCCCAAAAATTCTGTCTAGAAAGGGAGCCAAGTACAATGCCAAGAAACACCATTTATGTAAGTGGCTCACTAGGTTTGATGCCCAGAAATTCTGTCTAGATAGACAGCCTACAAAGTATGACGCTTAAAAAATGCAGTATAAGTAGCAATTCACAAGATTTGATTCCCAAAAACAGGTGTCTAGGTAGTCAGCTTTCCTGTGTGATGCTCAAAATGCTGTGTAGGTAGGAAGCCCAATATGTTCGATTTCCAAAATGTCATCAAGGTAGGTAGGCACGATGCTCAAAACTGCAGTCTATGTAGGTAATTAAAAGCCAACACGCTTCCAGACTAAACAATATATCCAGACAAAACTACAAATTAACAAACAATCGTCATCTTGACGTGACTGTGACTGACTGCGCTGACAACTACCACCGTTTTTGCTGTACAGAAAGGAAAAAAGTCGACACTGACAGTTGCACAAAGCCAATCAAGTTAAAGTAAAACTCCCCATTCACCGAGCAGCTCCTTTCAGTGAAAGAGAAAATCTGCAAAAATTCCAGCTAAACGGTGCATTACATGCGTCTCATTTGCATAACAAAAGACCGGAGGGGGGGGGGACTGGCACTGCTGGCTAATTGTAGCCCAAGATGCCGTTCGCCTGCGGAGGAAATGTGACAGCCGCGTTTATTCTGCTTTCCCCCGATGGTGTCCGCAAGCACGGTGGGAATAGCCTCGGGATAAGGGGCGAAATTTGCAGGCGCCTTCTAATAAGCATGTTGGGGGGTGGGGGACAGTTAACGTTGTGCTTCAGGACTAGCTTGACCAAGAAACATTACCTATGCAAAACAGCAAGAATAAATGAAAAAGATATGGATTACTAAAGCAGCAGAGGCAGCAGGAGGTAGCACAGTAGTAATTTGTATCAGATATTATCCCATTAGGGAGAAACATCCAGCTCCACACTGATTACCGAAAGAGAGAACAGGTCAATAATTCTGTAGCGCCCCAAAATCCCACACCGCCATAATTCACCACACCAGTCATTATTCTCGTTAATTCATAGGGAAGAAAGAAGGTCTGCTGTCCGCCGGATTTTCCAGCCATGTAAGAAGAGAATGAGAAAATGTGTTGACATTTAAAGGTGACCGATCACAACGGTCATTTCTCTGGTCCAGGTGACACCTCTGGGCAACTCCGAGACCCGGACGCATGCAAGAAAAATGAGCCGAAGAGGGTTTTGTGGAAATCTGGATGCGAGATGCTCTCAAGGCGATAACAAATCTTGCTGTAAAAACAAAGTGGTCCTGCTCTAGATTCACAGTATTTATTGGGTGAGCAGGGAGCAGAGGGTGAACAGGTAACATTCAAGATGATGACAGATTTTTTATCCAAAAGCATAACAAGACTTTGACCTCTTTGGGACATGAGTTTAACTGCATATTATTGTTCATTCCTTCACAAAAATGTCTAGCTTGTAGATTCAATCTATTTTTTGGGTGAACAAGGTGCACAGGGCAAACAGGTACAATCGTAGATGACAGCATATATTTTGGCAGAAGCATAACAAGGTGATCTTGACCCCTTTTTTGAACACCGATTCAACTGTACACACACTAACACAGATGTCCAGCTGTGAATTCTCACTTTTTGGGTAAACAGGGCACACAAGGTGAAAAGGTAACATTCAAAATGATAACTAATATTTTGCCAAAAAGTTTTTATGGCCTTTTTTGGATACCACTTCAACTTTATATCACTATACTTTCTTTAACACACACATCTGGCTCTAAATTCACACTACGTTTTGGGTGAACGGTGCATAAGACGATAACTTATTTTGTAAAAAATTTATAAATTTAACACCAATTCAACTGCATACAACTATTCACTGCTCCACACAAAAATTTGGCAGAACGATTCAACGTACTTTTTGGGTGAACAGTGTGCACAAGGCAAATGGATACACTTCTATTTATTATAATATATTTCACCAAAAGCATAAGGTGATTTTGACCTCTTCTGGACACCAATTTAACTATACCACTATACACTAAATAACACAAAAGCCTGGCTCTAAATTTTCACTACTTTTTGGGTGAACATGGCCCATAGGCTGAAAAGGTAACATTCAAAATGATAAATAATATTTTGCTAAAACTTACCAAGGTGATTATGGCCTCTTTTGGACACCAAGCCAACTACATATCACTGCATACTCCTAAACACAAACGCCTGTTTCTAAATTTACAGAACTTTAATGGGTGAACAGGGCACACATGGTGAAAAGGTAAATGCATAAGGTGATATATCCCTCATTTCTCATTTTGGTCAGTTTAACTGCTCAAGTACTGGACAGAAAAAAAGTGCTCGAGCACACAAGGTGGGCTATTGTTAATTTCTGATCTGTGTATGCATGCGTCAGATGGACATCTTTGGCTGTTGCATTGTGTTTCACGGTTTTTCAGAAACGCACAACAAAGGTGTCATGTTTTTAAAAAGGTGTAAAGTAAAAAAAAAAAAAAAAGCCTTTCAATACCTTGCATTCTGTTGCTTTTGGATGCACAATGACTAGCTTAAACACAAAGACGTGTCCAGTCAGTATAAATGCCCCTTAATCCTCCCCCAAAAAGCAAGAGACCATATGAATAGTTCTTGTCCGAACTCTAACAATCTCTACATATTGTTAATGTAACCAATCACAATATTAAATCAATTAAGGATCCTGCTTTACATTCATGGCAGTTACTGGATGAACAGGGCACACAAGGTGAACAGTCAACAATCAAGACAATAGCAAATATTTTCTCAAAAACATAAGATGCCTCTGACCTAGTTTGGACACCATTTCAGCTGCATATCACAGTACTGGTTGTACTTCTTAACACATAAGGTTGCTGGCTAATTGTAGCCCAAGATGCCGTTCGCCTGCGGAGGAAATGTGACAGCCGCGTTTATTCTGCTTTCCCCCGATGGTGTCCGCAAGCACGGTGGGAATAGCCTCGGGATAAGGGGCGAAATTTGCAGGCGCCTTCTAATAAGCATGTTGGGGGGTGGGGGACAGTTAACGTTGTGCTTCAGGACTAGCTTGACCAAGAAACATTACCTATGCAAAACAGCAAGAATAAATGAAAAAGATATGGATTACTAAAGCAGCAGAGGCAGCAGGAGGTAGCACAGTAGTAATTTGTATCAGATATTATCCCATTAGGGAGAAACATCCAGCTCCACACTGATTACCGAAAGAGAGAACAGGTCAATAATTCTGTAGCGCCCCAAAATACCACACCGCCATAATTCACCACACCGGTCATTATTCTCGTTAATTCATAGGGAAGAAAGAAGGTCTGCTGTCCGCCGGATTTTCCAGCCATGTAAGAAGAGAATGAGAAAATGTGTTGACATTTAAAGGTGACCGATCACAACGGTCATTTCTCTGGTCCAGGTGACACCTCTGGGCAACTCCGAGACCCGGACGCATGCAAGAAAAATGAGCCGAAGAGGGTTTTGTGGAAATCTGGATGCGAGATGCTCTCAAGGCGATAACAAATCTTGCTGTAAAAACAAAGTGGTCCTGCTCTAGATTCACAGTATTTATTGGGTGAGCAGGGAGCAGAGGGTGAACAGGTAACATTCAAGATGATGACAGATTTTTTATCCAAAAGCATAACAAGACTTTGACCTCTTTTGGACATCAGTTCAATTGAATATTATTGTTCATTCCTTCACACTAATGCCTGGCTTTTAGATTCAATCCATTTTTTGGGGGAACAAGGTGCACAGGGCAAACGGGTACAATTTTAGATGACAGCATATATTTTGGCAAAAGCGTAACAAGGTGATCCTGACCCCTTATTTGAAAACCAATTCAACTGTATATCCCTGTACACTCACTAACACAAACGTCCAGCTGTGAATTCTCACTTTTTGGGTAAACAGGGCACACAAGGTGAAAAGGTAACATTCAAAATGATTTGCCAAAAACTTACCAAAGTGTCTATGACCTTTTTTCGATACCACTTCAACTTTATAT